TAATAGACGCATGCTGGAAACCTGCTCATTACTCAGAACTGAACAAATGATACACAAAAATAAAAACTCACAGCTCCTCCCCTCACTCATCACTAATCACAGTCCAGACAGTAACCAGACACATAGTTGTACTGGTGATGCACGATATTAACATTTTTGGTCGATACCGATATTAAGATTTCTGATATCGCTGATAACCGATATTACCGATGTCGATATTCAATTTTTGTTCACACCGAAAAATGAGTGTAAGCAAGCACTGTGAGACATGAAAACGATTCAAAAGAAGTCCAAGTGTCGAGATGAAGGCGCTCATGTTAGACAACCATCAGTTTTTCACATCAGCAGTGTAGCGACTTCCACAGTCGCTAGAGAGGCCGAGGATGGGTTCTGTCTGATTGTACGACCCGCTGTCGCTTCCTAAATAATGCACAAAAGTTCCCTCCTTTTATTAAAAGTGATTTATGATTCGCAGGCATGACACCAGTATCACCACACTGGGCTACGGTACAGACAGTATGTTTAGCGCCAATCACTCAAGCGTGGCGGTCAACAAAATGACGGCTACCCAGCCCTCCTCTCTCTGGCAAGACGACCACATGACTGACTGTCAGCTCTTTTGACTGCTCAACCATGCTTCACATCACCATGACAACCAAATAAAACAAACTATAAACCCAGTGATCAATACTCAATAAACAACATTTGTGGCTCCTACAGGCTAAATCTGTTCATCGGATCGATGCCGATATCTGTGAAAAAAACACTAATATGGGCCGATACCGATGTGGTGGCCGATGTATCGTGCATCCCTAATTTATACACCATCCAGTGAATCAGTGATTCATCATATTGTTTAATAAATCATCGTTTACATTTCTGAATTGTCTAAATTTTTGTTATTCTTCACTCTTTTTGTCCTCAGTACACACCTATGACTTACCTGAAGCACGGTCTTTAATGTTTTAAAGCATAAATATGCCCTTAGGCTGATATTTGTTTGTCTTTTTACAAACTTAATCAGAATTTCTGACATTTGTAGCCAGTGTTTAAGCAGCAGGAAAATCAGCAGTGCTGAAATTATAAAAACTGAGAATTATCTATGTATGAAAACTGGATTTGTAAACGTTTTGTTGCCAGTTTTAATCTTAAATTCAGTAAAAATTAGTTCTACAAGCTGTTAAAGTGACATTTTAAGAGCTGAAGGGACAGTCGACTAATCAATTCATCAGTAAACAAGGATTTAGATAACTGATAACTGATTGTTCCTTTTTTTCAAACTATCAAGAATGCTGATTTTGTAAAGAACAGTCGTTGGACCCGCTGTGGCTTCAGTGCTGCACCTCANTGAAACAAATGCAGCATGACTCGAACAGAATAATAATGGAAACAAATAGCCCGTTAAAGGTGGAGGAACTATTTTGTTGTTTGCAGGAAGTTGCCGTTGCTGTGCTCTTATTGTGGCGTCCGGTAGCGGAAGTGCTGCCGCGCTGCGTCCGCCTTGACGCGCAGCTCTGCCGTTGTTGTTCTGATCAAGATGGCTGCTGTTGTTCTGGATGGAGACTGAGCGCAGGCTGTCATCCCAACACAGGCCGAGGAAACGCACCCGAACCCGCCGAACCGACGACACCGAGACGCGAACGGAACCGAAACCGAACCGCTCAAGCTAGTTTTAATTCTCTTCTGAAGGTAAATGCGTTTCCCTTCCTTTCGTTTTCAGCGTCAGCATCCTTTGCCCTCATCGATTATTATTTGATTGACACTTGTCGCGTTGGCTCATCGATCAGGAAAAAAACAGCATCGCTCATGTGTTCCATGTTCGTGTGTTTGTGGAGGACAGAGCAGTGAACGTGATGGTTATCAGGTTAATTTAATGCTGTCTTGTGTCGTGTTCGTGGCTGCGGGCGGTTAATCAGTGAATCTGTGCGACGGCATGAAGGTTATTGAGGTTACTGCAGCGATACAACCGTTAACGGCACCACCACAGTTTATCCGGTTAAAATAAGACCGGCTTGACTTAACGCGTTAATTAACCCCAGCGGATCTATGGGCGTCGCCTTGTTCTGTCATGAAGCCCAATGGGTCGGTCTGTGAAGGCATTTACGGGTAACCAGCCAAAATAAATAAATTAATTAATTAATTAAAATTATAAACTAAAATTGCATTCTTAACTTTGCATTTTTAGAAACTATAATTACAAAAAATATTATTGTGAACTACAATAAATCAATAAATCACTGCAGCAGCTCCACATGATGTTATATATACACATAAAAAAAAGGTGGAGAAGCAGATTCATAATAATGACTGGATACAGGGTGAATATGTATTATTTTGATGTATAATATTGGTTTATTGTCTCTGTTTACTTCTTTTGCAGTGTTTTGCTGGTGCACAATAAACAGGTGCAAAACAGGGCGACACTAATGAGATAACAAAACGCTGACGTACAGCAGTACACCTGACAAACATATAAACGTATATATACAGACATATGAATGTAGAAATAAAAAACTGATTGATGTCCAAGTTATGAGAGGTCAAAAGAAATAATCATGAAAAAATAAGATAACTGTTATTTAATTGAGACAGTATGCACACATACTCGACTCGTCCACTGACCTCAAGTATTCTGGTCGTCCTCGGGTCCAAAACCAACTTCATGAATTTGTTTACAGA